GGGAAAGGCTGCTGGTGGCCTTTGTTGAAAAATAGCTGTCATTCAGCAATGATGTATATATTTTCTGTGCAAGTTTAATATTTTTTTGTAATAGTTGGTTGAGTGAAAAAATAGGAGGCATTACTTTGATTGGCCTTCCTGTTTCGGAACCATAGGCAGGTCTGTTCTGGACCTAGTTAATAGTTACCTGCAGTCTGAAAACTTAAAAATCATAGTATAATAGGAAAGTAGGTCTGGAAGGGACCTCGTGAGGTCTTGTGCAACCCCCTACTCAAGGCAAGATCAAGGCATGGGACGGCCTCTTGCAGCCAAGGGCTTATTCCATGGGAGGACTCATAGCTACCAGCTGTTCAGTCCTGCAGGCCTTCAAAGCCTGGTACTCCCATGAAGCAGATAGGAGCCACTCACCCTCACATGCACGTTGATGTTTGCCTTGTGTCTTGCAGCTTGGTGAAGCAAGGCCATAAGGAGGATGAGGCAAACGTAGCTTCGGTGTGGTTCAGCGGAAGGCTCCATATCCGAGTGTGGCGTCCCATCCCTGCAGGTGCTGAGTTGTTGTACTGGCCTAAAGAGGCCCATGATGGCCCTACCGAGGGGGAGGGAAGAAGGCTGCCAAGTGCCTCTGACACAATAGCTGTTCCTGAGGAAGAGGAGAATCCCAATGGGGAGCTGGCAGCAGCAGCAGTGACAGAGACAGGAACTCCAATGGTGGAGACTGTGGTTCAAAGGGAAGGGGCCTCCCCTGCTGGTAAAGCAGCAGAACCTTTCTCAGGTATGTTCCTGTCACAGGACACAAGGTTTTGTTCTAACTTCCTTTTGAAAAGGTGGCTACAGTGCTGTTAAGCAAAGAGTGAGCCCTCCTGAACACACCCTGTGAGAACTGGTTGCATTAGCACCCCCCTAGAGTAATGCTGGCTGCCAAGATTGTGGAAACCCTCAGGGGAGCCAGTCTGAAAACACTTTAAGCCTTTCCCAACCACTATCAGTGTTGTTGATCCCTCCATGAGAACAGGTGAGCAATGGTTCCCTGTCTTCCTCTCCTCCTTCAGGAGAGGTGGCTGGGGATGTGGGGGGAGTTGGGACTACTGTCTAGAGCAGGGGTGGTCAACCTGTGCATGGGTGCCATAAGAGGGAAAAGGGCAGCCTGTGTGTATGGCACGTGGCAGAATGGGTATGGGACAGGCAGCAGAGTGGCAGATAGGAAGCACAGGGAAGAGAGCAAAGCAGCAGATTGGGTAAGGGAAAGGGACCAGACTGGCACTTGGTGAGTGTGCAGGGCTAATTTGTGTTATGTCTGCCAAAAACGTTGGCTCCCACTGGTCTAGAGTTCTGTGCAAGAGGAAGAATGTGGGTGTGATGCAGGAGTTGACTCCATTACTGAGCAGTTTTTTAAAGCTAACCCAGGTGGAAGGTGGGACACTATCAAGTAGCCATGAGCTCATACTATGCAGAAATGACTGCATGGTTCCAGTCATGGCTGCTGTTCTTCCAATCTGAGAATGCATACTGAAGACTGGCATTTGTGCATTGAATTATTGACTTCTAAGGAGCCCCACAGATGCATGATGAGCTAGTGAACTGTGGATAACACTGACCCTGCAGTCACCATTAGCTCCACTAACCTTATCCTTATCTTACACCAGTGCCAGAAGTATCAAAACACAAAGGAACATGCCCTACTGCTCAGCTTTGCCAATCATGACACAGTTCCCAGAAATACTTCCTCTGTGGCGTGTGCTTCCTGATACAATGGAATTGAAATTCTTCCCTCTCTCTAGAGTGAAAAGTCTGCTTGCATTCCTCCCTTCTGTGTTCAAGGAACTCTCTTGCAGTCAGTTTTTGATTCTCTCCCTAATTCTGTATTTATGCAGGTTGCTCTGATATTTCCAAAGTGATGGACAAAGAAACCAGAGCCCAGGATGTCCCTACTGATGAAGGCAAGAAGCAGCCAGCCAAATGTTCCCACAGGCTGCAAGGCAATAACCTGGAGGAGGAGATCATGACTCCTACAAATGAGCTCTCGGAGACTGCAATCCTGAGGAAAGAGAACCAGCACCCTGAGAGTACCTCAGCAGCTGAAGCTGATAACAGATGTAACAGGGGGGTGGTTGAGGGTGTGGATCCCCTGACCGAGGCAGAGAAAGCAGATGGGAAGCGAAGAGAGGCACATTTGGGAAAGCTCCAACTGCCACTGCCTCCATTGAATGGAGTTCGACTCAGTGCTCGCTTGGCTGGGAAGCCACGCAAAATTCACACGTTGACCGGCCAGTTCCGGAAGTGCCTGCAAGAATGCAGTGCCAGGGTGTCTGGGCAGGAGGCCAACAGTTCAATCATTTATGAGGGAGAAGATGCTGTGGAGACCTGTAAGAAAGCTGGAAAGGTTTCCAAAGGCTGTTCCAAACTGGAGTCCTCGAAGCCCAGAAAGAAGGGCCTACCTGATGCTTCAGAGGAGCAGAATGAGTACCCCAAAGTAGAAATCACTGTTGAGCTGGGGGAGGGGTCCTCTGGTAAGCTGGGTGTCTCCCAGCAGAAGTCCCAAATTCAAAGTGAGCGCAAGTACCACTGTGGGGACTGTGGCAAGGCCTTTCTTCAGCTCTGTCATCTCAAGAAACACAGGTTTGTCCACACCGGCTACAAGCCCTTCCTGTGCACAGAATGTGGCAGGAGCTACAGCTCTGAGGAGAGCTTCAAGGCCCACGTGTTGTTCCATCGGGGAGTGCGCCCCTTCCAGTGCAAGCAGTGCGAAAAGGCTTATGGCACGAAGCGAGACCTGAGGGAACATGAGGTGCTGCATACAGGCAAGCGCCCCTTCACCTGTGAGGAGTGTGGTAAGACATTTGCTCGCCGACCCTCCCTGCGCATCCACAGGAAGATCCACCTTGCCAAGGAGCTTGATCCGGCCAGCCCCAAGGGGTGTGAGTGCGCCATCTGCGAGCGCCGCCTGGCCAACCCTGGCTCCCTGCGCAATCACATGCGCCTGCACACTGGGGAGAAGCCTTTTGTCTGCCCCTACTGTGGCAGGGATTTCCGGCAGCAGGGCAACCTGCGGGGGCATCTGCGGCTGCACACTGGTGAGAAACCCTACAAGTGCCGCTTCTGCGGGGATGCCTTCCCCCAGATCCCAGAGCTGCGGCGGCACCTCATCTCCCACACAGGGGAGGCCCACCTGTGCACGGTCTGCGGCAAGGCACTGAAGGACCCTCACACACTGCGGGCCCATGAGCGCCTGCACACAGGTGATCGCCCATTCAAATGCGAGCAGTGCGGCAAGGCCTACACGCTGGCCACCAAGCTGCGCCGGCACCAGAAGTCCCACCTGGAGGACAAGCCCTACAAGTGTGACATCTGTGGTATGGGCTACACCCTTCTACAGAGCCTTACACGCCACAAGATCACCCATCGGACAGCCAGGGACTCCAACAAGCTGATGGAGGCTGTGGTCTCACTGGACAGGGACATGCAAAAAGCTGCCAGGAAGAGGCCCAAGAGGAAGGCCCCTCAGGTGGGGGATACAAAGGAGCCTACAATGCTTGTGGTGCACTCGGCTTCCACAAGTGAGGCAGAGCTCCTGATAACTGCCAACGGCCATTGCATTGCTACATTTCCTCCCACAGGCAGCTCTCCAGAGCCCATGGTGCTGGGCTCTGAGACCTCTGCAGGACAAGAACCAACAAACAAAGACATCATTGAGATCACCATCTCTGAGCATGAGGACAAATGTATCATTGTGCAAGACAAAGGCTCCCCAGGTGACTTGGTCATCATCCAGGAGAGTGTGGGCTTCAGTCATGTGGCTGAGGTGGTGGAGGTGGAGACTGGGACCTGATAGTCTCTCCCCACCCTTGCCTTGCCTATTTAGCCTTACTGCATCCAGACAGAACGTGTGTGTGTGTGTGTGTGTGTGTGTATATAGATATAGATATATAAAAAATCTATTTTCCAGCTCTGTTGCATTTTTCAGTGGTGCCAGCAGTCCATGGCCCTACCCAGCAAGAGGAGAGGCTACGAATGTTCATACTGGCTTGTGCCTACTAGCCAGAAAGTTGGCAACTGACCCAGGTCTCAGGGGCAGCCATCCTTCCTCTGCTGGAGGCCTGAGGATAGAGTGGGTTGAGCCTGGGGAAAGCAGGAAAACCTCCTTAGAAGAGAAATTTCACTCCTTACCCATACAAAAAACAGGGCTACTGCTGCCCACATTAGTCGGCCAAGGGTGGACAGAAACCAGAGTTCTTTATGGCAGCATTTCTCAACCTATGGGTCGCAACCCAAAAGTGGGTCGCAAGACTATATGGAAGGGTCATGAACAAAAATGGATCAAGAAACTTGAAAAATGGATTCTCCTTTAAAGGAGAAAAACCTTGGAAAACTGTGGCTTTTCCCTTGCAGGCTGGCAGAGTTCCAGCCTGCAAAGAGCTGCTTGGGCCCTCCCCTGCCCCACACTGGGGGGGGGCTGGGACCTGGGGGGGCAGCCCACTGCCCACCCCTCATGCTCAGAGGGGTGGGCAGTGGGTCAGGGCTGAGGGGTACTGGGTGGGACTGGCTATCAATGTTTACAAATGGGTCCTGGTACAAAAAGATTGAAAACCATTGCTTATGGGCATGCTCCAGCAAAGGCAAGGGCAAAAGGAAAGGACAAGGAAAAGCAAGCAGCTGCTGAAATGGTTTAAAATCTCCCTTCCTCTCCTTGCTTTGGCTACACAGCACTGCTGAGCTGCTGTTTTTCAAATACTTCTTCCCTTCTAGGTTTTCCACTTGAAACAGCAGTATCTCTGACTTCCAGAGGAGTGATGCTAGAGCATTAGGCACAGCTAGAAAGATGCTGAGTTGGTTACTAAAATCAGAAACAGAGAAAATTAGGGTTGGAAGGGACTTCAGGAGATCATCTAGTCCAACCCCCTGCTCAAAGCAGGACCATCCTCAACTAGATCTGAGCCAAAGCTTTGTCTAGCCAGGTCTTAAAAACCTCCAAGGACAGACAGTCCATAACCTCTTTAGGTAACCTGTTCCAGTGTTTTACTACCCTCCTAGTGAAAGAATTGTTCCTAATGTCTAACCTAAACTTCCCTTGCTGCAACTTGAGATCATTGCTTCTTGTTCTGTCATCTGCCACCACTGAGAACAGTTTAGCTCCATCCTCTTTTGACCCCCCCCCCTCCCCCACCTTTCAGGTACTTAAGGGCTACTATTAAACTCCCCCTCAGTCTTCTCTAGTCTAAATAAGCCCAGTTCCCTCAGCCTCTTATAAGTCATGTGTCTCAGCCTCCTCACCATTTTTATTGAAGTCTCCAATTTTTCCACATCCTTTCAGTAGTGGGGGGCCCAAAACGGAACGCAGTATGCCATATGTGGCCTTGCTAGTGCTGACTAGAGGGGAATAATCACTTCTCTTGACCTACTGGCAAACACCTACCAATGCAGCCCAGGATGCCATTAACCTTTTTGGCAACAAGGACACACTTGGCTCATATTCAGCTTATTGTCCACTGTAACCCCCAAGTCCTCTGCAGAGCTGCTGCCCAGCCAGTCAGCCCCCAGCCTGTACTGCTGCATGGGATAGTTCTGTCCTAAGTACAAGACTTTGCATTTGTCTTCGTTGAACCTCATGAGATTTCTTTTGGCCCAATATCCTCCAATTTGTCTAGTCAGTCTGAATCCTAGCCCTACCCTTCAGTAAATGTACTACTTCCCCCAGCTTGGTGTCATCTGCAAACTTGCTGAAGGTGCACTGTATGCTGTCTTCCAGGGGCGCTCCACTTGAGACCAGCTGCCAACTAACATTGAGTCATTGATTACTACCTTCTGAGGCCAATGCTCCAGCCATTTTCTAGCCACCTTACAGTCTGTTCATTCAGCCCATACTTCCTTAGCTTGCCTGAGAGAATGTTGTGGGAGACTGTATCAAAAGTCTTGTTAAAATCAAGGTACACCACTTTCACTGGTCTCCCCACATCCACAGAGCCAGTCATCTCATCATAGAAGGAAATCAGGTTGGTCAGGCATGACTTGCCCTTGGTGAATCCATGCTGACTGTTCCTAATCACCTCCAAGTGCTTAGAAATTGATTCCTTGAGGATCTACTCCATGATTTTTCCAGGGACTGAGGTGAAGCTGACTGGTCTGTAGTTCTCTGGATCCTCCTTTTTCCCTTTCTTAGATATGGGCACTATATGTGTTTGCCCTTTTCCAATCATCCAGGACCTCTCCTCATCACCTGAGTTTTCAAAGATGATGGCCAGTGGCCTCAGGACCTTTGGGTGTATCCCATCCACCCCTGTGGACTTGTATATGTCTAGCTTTTCTAAATAGTACCTAACCTGTTCTTTTGCCACTCTTGGCTGCTCACCTTCTCCCCAAACTGTGCTGCCAAGTGCACTCTCAATTGGGCTTCTTTAAAGTACAGCCAGCGCTCCTGGACTCCTCCCTCTCAGACTGGCTTCCCAGGGGATCCTGCCTATGAGTTCCCAAAGCAAGTTGAAGTCTGCTTTTCTGAAGTCCAGGGTACTTACTCTGCTGCTCTCCATCCTTCCTTTCCTTAGGATTCTGAACTCATTCATCTTGTGGTCACTGCTGCCCAAGTCCACTATTACATTCCCCACTAATTCTTCCCTGTTTGTGAGTAGCAGGTCAAAAAGAGCCTGGCCCTTAGTTGGCTACTCCAGCACTTGCACCAGAAAGTTGTCCCCAGCACTCTTTAAAAACTTCTGGATTGCCTGTACACTGCTGTATTGCCCTCCCAGCAGATGTCAGGGTGATCGAAGTGCCCCATGAGAACCAGGGCTTGTGATTGGGAAACTTGTGGGAGCTGTTTGAAGAAAGCCTCATCCACCACTTCCTCCTGGTCTGGTGGTCTATAGCAGACCCCCAGCATGACATCACCCTTGCTGCTTTCCCCTCTGAGACTAACCCTGATTCTTTCAACAGACCTGTCTCCAGTTTCATCCTGGAGCTCTGAGCAATCATATGGCTCTTTTACATAAAGTGCAACTCCTCCTCTTTTCCCCTGCCTGTCCTTCCTGAACAGTTTGTTCCCATCCATGACAGTGCTCCAGTCATGCAAACTCCCACCAAGTCTGTTATTCCAATCATATAGTGCCATGATTGTGCAAGGACTTCCAATTCTTCCTGCTTGTTTCCCAGGCTTCATGTGTTCATGGACAAGCACCTAAGGTAACTAGCCGATTGCCCTGATTTCTCAGGAAGTATGAGAACACCTCCTCTGTTGCCCCCTCCTACTTGCTCTTCTTCCAGGTCACCCACTTCCCCACTTACCACAGGGCTTTGGCCTCCATCCCTTAGCAAAAGCCCTCCTCACTAGGTTAGCGAGCCTGTCTGCAAAGATGCTCTTCCCTCTCTTCATCAGGTGGATCCTATCTGTTCCCAGCAATCCTTCTTGGAACAACATCCCATGGTCAAAGAAGTCAAAGCCCTGCTGCCAACACCACCTGCGCAGCCAGGTAGAGTCAGTAAACACTGATAAAGCTTGGCCAGGATGGAACTCCACTTTCTGCTGAGGCAGCGTTGTGGCGCCTAAGAGGCTTACAGAATTGCCTTCTTTTTGCAAATGTTTCTCCTCCATAAGAGGAAGCAGCCCTGTATCCTCACCTTACATTTTGAATTGCTGAGTGGAAATTTTTAGCCATTTCATAATTCTTGAGGAATACTGTTATAGCTCCCTGGCATTTCCTGCTAATTTTCTTTCCTAGTGGTTGTTTCAGATCTTCCTTTTGCCTCCAGTGGGTCAGGCTTGCAGCAGTTGCTTTTTCTAGTCTGACGTGGCAGACATTCTGAGACTCGGCTTCAAGAAGGGGTTACAGTACTGCCTCAGCAGAAAGTGGAGACCCATCCTGGAACTTGTCCATTGTGTGGCACCCACATCTCTTTGCTGTGAGATGGGCTGAGCTCCAGGAGCTCTTCTGTCTAACCGCTTCCCTGGGCACCTTCTCCATTAGCTGCTGTTGGAATTGCAAGTGTATTGGCCATCAGTAGATCTTATCCCTGTCTATAGTGACCTGGGGCATAGCAATGACTTTTCTAACCATCCCATACTGGAGAGTTCCCATCCAGCCTCATTCTGGGTCTTCCCTGGAACAAGGATTCCAACAGCTTCAAAATCTTTTTTTCCATATCTTTGGCCAAAGCTTCCCTTTTCAAACCTATCCTTTTCCACAGCACTACTCGGATGGTGCTCCTCTTTCCTCTCCTGACTGGTGTTCATACTTTTCACCCTCTTCATTTTGATGTTGCTTAGACAAGGGAGACACCTATACCTCCAACTGTTCCTCCAAAGTCAGTCCCTCTAGCAGCCTCAGAGCTTCTGGTCCCTTTCTCTGAACTTCCTCAAGTCTGTCAGTCCCTTGAAGGGAAGGAAATGTCCAACTCGAGGGACTACATTATCATAGTGTTTGTGGGGGAGAGAACCCTCCTTGCTTCAGGACCTGATGTGTCTGTGTACAGAGCCCACCCCACTTGTTCTCTTTACTTTCCTCACTGCGAAATTTGCTTTGCTGCCTCCTGAGCCTTGGCCATTCTTGCTCCCCCTTTATCTTTATGCTGGATTGTGAGCGCACCTATGCTTGGAGCTCTTTCACAGTAGCAGCAGCAGGGGTTGGAAATGAAGCAGTTTTGCTATGTTTGAATCTTTCTCAGCTCAATTAGAACATAGCAGATGGTACCCTTTTGAAGTGTTCCCCTCTTGAAAGGGCCCCAAATGTGACACCATTGCCTCATTTCCCCAGTTCATGCCTGACTCCTCTGGGGTCCTTGGGATTATTTGTCCTCCTAGGTGTCCTGCTTCCTATTTAGTATTATCTAGGAACATCACTAGGTCTTCAGTCCCAAGTGATAGAACAAACCCAAAGGCTGCCACAACATTGTTCCCTTCTTGAAACCTTTTCTGTGCCTCATTCCTCATATTTAGAATCAAGTCAGGCATTGGGACATGA